GAAAAACATTATTCCTTCAAATGAACTGATGATCATGCATTGCATTTTGCACAAAAGCACCATCTAGTGCCACCGACTAAAGTAGAGCAAGACTGAAGACGGCGCATACGGCTGCCTTTGTAAGCATGTCTGATCTAATGTGTCTTCCGACTGTCTGTGTGTGTGTGTGTGTGTGTGTGTGTACAGACAAGCAGAAGGCAGAGCTGACCCAGCAGCACACTGAGTGGGTGAGACAGGTCACCCAGAGACACATGCAGCAGATCGAGGACCTTCAGAACGAAATACACACATACACACAAATGATGGCCTTGCAGCAGGTACACATACAAACCGCACAGACACACACATTACACAAGGGTTCATCACCCCACGTCTCTCTCTCTCTGTCTCCTTCTCAGGATCTGAAGCAGCAAAACCGCTTACAGTCACTAGAGAGACAGCTGGATGAGAAGAGCAGCGAGGTTCAGGAGCTAAAGAGAGAGAACGAAGATCTGAAAGAACGCATGAGTGCAAAAAGCACACGGAGAGAAGAACCAGATGACCACAAACATAAACATAAGAGGTCAGTATTAAAGGGATAATTCACCCAAAAGTAAAAATTACCCCATGATTTACTCGCCTTCAAGCCATCCTAGGTGTGTATGACTTTCTTCTTTTAGACAGATATTATCAGAGTTATATTATAAGATGTCCTGGCTCTTCCAAGCTTTATAATGGCAGTGATCCATCATAAAAAGTGCTCCACTGGGCTGCGGGGGTTAATAAAGACCTTCGGAAGCGAAGCATTGCATTTTGCACAAAATGCGGATGATAATTTTAATTTTTGGGTGAACTATCCCTTTAAGATAACACACAGGCGGACAGTAACGAGATGACCTTAAACACACACACAGACAGGAGGTCAATAACAAGATGACCACACGTACACTCACAAGTGAGAAAACTGACTGTTGACTATTGGCATATTATCGGTCTTGTCCACATTGCTGCTTATTGTGGTCAAGAACTGCTTATTTATTCCCATTTAAATCAGTTTCAGCTATAGAAAATCAGCCCCTTAAAGGGATAGGTCACCAAAAACCAGAAAATTTTATATCATGCAATTCTGAGAAAGTCAACTGCGAGATGTAAACATGCAACTGCAAGAAGAAAAGTCCGAATTATGAGATAAAAAGTCTCAATTATCTTTTTATTTTTTATTCAGTGGCGGAAACGGGCTTCCACATTTATGTGCAGATTTATAAGTAAATCTGATGTCTGCTATAGGCCTGAGAACAAAGCAGGATATACATGTTTGATACTGATTTATTTGTATCTGATGTGCAGTTTCTCGGAGGAACAAGATGAGGCGGGTGAAGCGGTTGGGTCGGATCACAGGAATAACATGGAGAGTGTGAAGAGAGAGCACAGAATGGAGATCCAGACCATAATATCAGACTTCAGCACCGCCCAAACACGACTACAGGCCCGCATAGTTGCCTTGGAAACAGAGTACCTACTCCTCCCACATCAATAATGCAAAACGCAAACCACACATACATACAGAATTAACCCAAGCAGGACAATATATGGCGATGGCTCATGACTAGGATTTCCTACAGATCTCCACAGAGCTTGCATGCTAATTTATGAAATATAGTGGCTAATTTGATAATTGTAGCTATAAAAATGCAGTACATAACAGTCTAACACATTTTACTATATTTTACCACTACTTAGGATTTGACTGCATCATATAACAGACTCCTTATTGCTAATGTGAAACCAGTGGTACTAGAACTTACACAAAATACAGTACTAATGCGCACACAAGATTTTGTTAGAATTATTAATGTTATCTATATGTGACCCTGGACCACAAAACCAGTCATAAGGGTCAATTTTTCGAAATTGAGATTTATACACCATCTCAAAGCTGATTAAATAAGCTTTCCATAGATGTATGATTTGTTATGATAGGACAATATTTGGAAATCTGGAATCTAAAAATTAATAATTTTGACCCATACAATGTATTTTTGGCTATTGCTACAAATATCTCCGTGCAACTTAAGACTGCTTTTGTGCTCCAGGGTCACATATTAGAATAGCATGTTATGCAAGTCTTAATCTTAAATTTGACAATATTTTAATGCAACATTAAAATCTAAAATAAGATTTCAAGAATAAAGTTAAAATATGAGAATATAGGCATTTTTCGTAAATAGTCGTAATATATAAAAAAAAAAAGAATAAAGATATAATATTGCATTAATAAAGTAGAATAATGCTACACCTTTATTCTTGTCTAATTTCAATTATGAGATTATTCTCATTTTGACTATGCATGTATATATATATATATGAATATTTTTTTCTTTCTAACTAACAGTTATATTTAGCATATATTTAATTTCTTAAGGTTGCATTTAATTAATATTTGTATGTCTGCTTTGTGTGCTTGTATTTTATGTTTGCAGGTTGAGAGAAAGGGAAGAAAGGGGAAAGAGGAGAGTAGAAAACCTACACACCATTGCTAAACTACAGGACAAGCTAAGCGAGAGAGACCAACTCATCAAAAGTCTAGTGGTTAGAGACGCACATACAGACACGTAACAGACACAGGATGCTCGGCTCATCACAGCGTTTCTCTTTCTATTTCAGGAGGACCTCCACCAGCTGTCCCAGCATCCACCTCTGTGCAGCGATGAAATATTGAAGCCTTATGACTCTAGGACACAAGCAGGGACCCTCACGCCTACTATGAAGGTAGCACACAGACACTTTTCCGAATCCCACATCACATCGGAATTCCATTCATCCAGGTTCATACAATAACTGATAGAAGAACATGCTTATTGAAGCTCAGAATTAATCTGTTGTAATCTGCCTTCTGTTTATAGAAAAAGGGGGTTGAAGAAACTAGCATCCCGAACCTCTGCTCATACGATGGGGGGTCACCCAAGGCTAAATGTTCACCGGTTATGGAGCGTGGATTACCCAGTCTGGAGCAGAGCGGGCGAGGCACCACCCTAACAAGGACACACCCCAGAGCCTCTATCAGACACAACCGTCCACCTTCACAAGAGGTGCGACATCAGCCGCAGCTTAAAATCAACTACAGCCAGCACATCAGGTAATCACCCGGTCCTGAATGCAATCTCCTTTGCTTTTTTGAAAACCTTTTTAAATGTGACCCTGCAGCACAAAAGCAGTGTTAAGTCGCTGGGGGATATTTGTAGCAATAGCCAACAATACATTGTATGGGTCAAAATTATAGATTTTTATTTTATGGCAAAAATCATTAGGATATTAAGATCATGTTCCATGACAATATTTTGTAAATTTCCAACCGTAAATATATCAAAACGGAATTTCTGATTGGTAATATGCATATCTAAGAACTTCATTTGGACAACTTTAAAGATGATTTTCTCAATATTTAGATTTTTTTGCACCCTCAGATTTTCAAATAGTTGTATCTCAGCCAAATATTGTCCTATCCTAACAAACCATACACCAATGGAACGCTTATTTATTCAGCTTTCAGATGATGTATAAATCTCAATTTTTAAAAATTTACACTTAAGACTGGTTTTGTGCTCCTGGGTCACAAATAGATAAATACAAATCTCAACATATGACTTGTGTTCATATTGAGAATTAATAAATAATACATCCTTGCATATTTTTAATTAAACAGATGCTTTATCCAAAGCAACTTAAAGATTCTCTGCATGTGGTGCCGTTTCTATTCTGAGAAAACTCATCTCATACTGTATGTAAAACACGGATTGAAATTGCTCGCAAAAGGATTTTTTAAATGTAGGTCAAGGTTTCTAGGTCTGTGTGACAAATGACATCCCAATAACTATTTAAAACCAGTGTAGTTATTAAAAAATGTTCAATTTTAAAAATGAAAATTTTTTCTTTAACTGAAACATGCCTGAGAAAAATCACATATTACTTCAAACTAAAATGAAAACAACAATTATTTAACAATTAAATTAAAACACATGCAAATGTAATACTACTATAGTATTAAATACTAAAATAACACTCTTCAAATCTGGTTTAGAGTCCATATTATTATTTTATTTTAATTTGTACACCTTTTCGTTTAACGCAAGTAGCAGCACTGAATATTTGCAGGGGGGGGGGGGGACAAATGAAAAAAATTAATTTCAGTCTAGAAGTCAGATGACCAACTATATTTGCCAAAATATGCAGTATACAACAGCACACACTATAACATATGAAGCAGCTGACACCTGAAGCCTTGCACATTCAAGCTGAAAATGACATGAAAAATTAGGTGCATACATTCTAACCTTGATATTAAAAAAAGTCCAGACATGTTGTGTGAACTACCTATTCAAAGACTTGTTTTCCTAACAATAACCCCCCTTTTCCTGATTCAGTGTTAAAAAAAAGTCTGTTCCCTAACTCTTTTTCTCCCAAAATGTCATATCTACATTTCCTGTTCTTACTTGCAGTTATCTTGTGCTTTTGTTCCAGGACTCCTGCCGAGCAGAGGGTTATTGAAACAGGGTCTGATGGACAAGACCCTCAAAAACAGGAGTGGTTCACCAAATACTTCTCTTTCTGAGGTCCCATAAACCTTCGGCCATATCTGTCCCAACATTTTGAGAACAAGCTCACCAAAGTCTCCTTTTTCTGCATAATTACACTCAACTGCAAGCTAACACCAAATAAGCTTTTCTACAGGATGCATCTCAATTTTATCCTCTTGAACGAGCGGCAGCACACAGGTCTTAAAATGTCACAAAAAATGAAATGAGATTATGCATTAAACCATGAAGAACTCATCAGAACGATGAAGGACAACGGGACACTAATGTCATAGAGTGGGTGGGCACGGAGGTGACTTTAAATGTGGTGTGAAATGCTAACTTTTCTTAAAAAAAAAAAAAACACGAATGCAAGAAAAGCTGGTTTTGCCATACTATGCCAAAACTGTAACTATCTCAATATAATTAATGTATATCAATAAATTACATATTTTTGTTTTTTTAAATGGCATGATTGCACATTTTCTTTATTTGTTTTTTTACAGAACTTTAGAATATCGTTACTTTCCCTGGACCGGTAATTCTAAATATACAGGTCTTAATAAAAAATACTTTCACTGAAAGAATCTGCAGTTCTTAAGAGCATCTGTAGCTGACGGATAACGAAGTATCTCCGCCTGGAAAGATTTGAGGGCGCTCTTCATCGTCCTCTGCTGGTTGGTCTGAGCTTTGTTCTTGTAGTTCATGCTCAAAAGTTTCTCAGCTAGATAGTGCAGCCACAACACATTGGAATGAGGATTATAGGTGGACCAGCAGTTACTGAGAGAGAGAGAGAAACAATGAGAATCAATGATTTTTAAATAACATTTTATCTGAGGCTGAAGGACATACTTGTTTTCTTTCTTCATTAGACGGTAGATTTCAAACTGATAATCTCCCTGACCCATGAACAACTCCTCATCATTAGAGATATCACATGACACCGTCAGTCCATCTGAGAGAGAGAGAGAGAGAGAGAGAGAGAGAGAGAGAGACAGAGAGATAGAGACAGTGAGAGAGAGAGAGAGAGACAGACAGTGAGAGAGAGAGACAGACAGTGAGAGAGATAGAGACAGTGAGAGAGAGAGAGAGAGATAGAGAGACAGTGAGAGAGAGAGAGACAGAGAGAGAGAGAGAGAGAGAGACAGACAGAGAGAGAGAGAGAGAGAGAGAGAGAGAGAGAGAGAGAGAGAGACAGAC